AGCAGCAACAAAAACAGCAGCAACAAAAACAGCAGCAACAAAAACAGCAACAGCCAAAACAGCAGAGGCAACAACAGTAGCAACAAAAACAGCAACAGCAAAAACAGCAACAGCAAAAACAGCAACAGCAAAAATAGCAACAGCAAAAACAGCAGAGGCAACAACAAGAAAAAGTGCCAACGAACCAATGGAGATAGTAACACTAGCATCAAGTCCATTAAGAGGTAAATCACCCTCAATAGGACCTAGTGAACCATTAACATCAAAAAAGGTGGCCGATAGAACTAAAAAAAAACCAACTAAAAAAATATCTGAATAAGATGATCCATTAATATTCGAAGTGGAAAAAGTTGAAAGTGAAGAAGTTGAAGATAAAGAAAGTGGAGAAAAAAGTGGAGAAGAAGGTGGAGAAGAAGGTGGAGAAGAAGATGGAGAAGAAGGTAAAGAAGAAGGTAGAGAAGAAGGTAGAGAAGAAGGTGAAGATAAAGGAAAAAAGAAGAGAAAAAGGAGAGATGATAGTGATAAGAAGTCAAAGAGAAAGACGAAAAAGAGACGATAGTTTATAAATGTATAATTTTTATTTTACTTTATCTATTTATAATTTTTACTACAGACAGTATTTCTGCTATATAGTTATATAGTCAATTTTAGTTTCTTTTGTTTTTATTTTCTTTTATATGTATAGTTTATGCTTTAAGGTAGTATATTTTTTGATATAGTATCTTTAATTTTTACTCATAATTTTCTTTTTTTATTTTTTTGTTCTAATTTTATTTTTACTCGTCTTTTATCACTCTTTTATATATTACCCTATTTCTTTTTTCTTAAAAAACTTTTTTTTTCTTTTTTTCCCTCTATGAAAAGATATCATCAAATTGGTGATCTCTAATTATAAGGTAATAAGAAAGTTATGATAGGCATATAGTAGCCTTCTGTAGATTAAAAGAGAGTAATTTTATCTAGGCAAACTTTTCTTTTAGAAGAAAAATTTTTATTATTACAACTAATTATACTTGAGTACCAAATAGTAGCTAAGTAAGTCTAAACTTGAAAGAGGAAGACAATTATAAAACTAGCTCAGTATAGGTTTATTTTTGTTTTAGTATTATTTATATTCTTTTCTAATAAAGAAAAAACAAGATTACCTAAGCAGAAAAAAAAATAATAATAAAATAAAATATAAAATATAAAATAAAATATTATTCTCTTAGGGCTTCTTTCTCTTTTAGTTTTTTTTCTTCTTCTAATAATTCAACTTCAATATTAATATTCACTAACTTTAAGGTACCTCTAATTTTACTAGTACTTGCATTTACTAGTATAAAGCTCTTTTTTTCTTAAATAGACTATACTTTTTTTATAATCTCTTCTACTAATTTTTATTCTTTTCAATAATCTTTTCTCTTCTGTCATCTTATCCTTCTCTTTACTCTTCTTTTTACTCTTCTTCTTGTTTTTTTCTTTACTCTCTTTAGCCTTTTTAGCTTTTTTAATTTTTTTCTATAATTTGTTAATTAACTTTAACCTTTTTTTACTTACTTTTTTGATATCTACTTCCTCTATTATATTAATTTTTTTCTTTTGTTCTTCTTGTTCCTCTTGTAATTTTAACTCTAATTCTAACTTGTATATCTATGCTAGCAAATCATTTGGCTTGTTAATAGTATAAACTAACTTAGTATTATTTTAAGTTTATTTGTAAGTTAGTTGTTTAGCTTGAACTAATTAGATTAAAGAATTTAGTATACCAAATACTATTTAATAATACTATTTAATATGTTGAATAGTATTATTAAATAGTATTTAACATGCCAAATAATATTATTAAATAGTCATCTAACAATACGACTCTTCCCATAGATCCTAATTTCCAAAATAAATAAAAAATCGAAAACACATTAGTCTCATAGCTTTTTCAAAAACAAGTATAATAACAGCTCAACAGGCATTAATACAAAAGCTAGAGCACTATTGTATACACCTCCAGAAAAAGTTTCAAGAAGAACAAACGAAAACTACTAAAGTTCTAGGCTAATACTTCTTGAAAAACTTCTAAATGACAAAAAGTAGGAATTTGCAAACTCCTAGTATCGCAGATCCTCTAGATTACACAATATACGCCATGTAGGTCTAGAAGTAAACAAACACGTATTCGATAAAAATAGAGTATATACGCCTACCTAAAACTGAACAACTTCTGGGGGCACAGAATTTTTTATTAATAAATCAGAAAATATATAGGCTATAAGAGCTAAAAATATAATATACATGTGATTCTAATTGAGCTACGATAAAAAAGATTTAAAAAGATGGAAGGATATACATCTAACCTTGAGTATAGCCAAGTAAGATTCAAAGCTGGTATCCAAGAAAGAAAAGATAGAATTAAGTCTTTCCTTAGAGAAGAATTTCCACAAAAACTAATTAGAAAAATCAACAGAATTGGAGGGAGCCAAGAAAAAATAGATAATTACATTTCAAGAATTACAGAAATTGAAATAAGAATTATCTCAACAGTGAGAGCTTGGCAAAAGATTCTAAAAGAAATTATCATTGAGGAAAGTAAAGCTATACTTGATATTGCACTGGAGGAACTAGAACAAGAGCTCTAAGCAACAATAGAAGATAAAAAGAAAAGGTCAAAAATCAGAAAAAAAGAAGAACTTGAAAAAATAAAGATCTTCAAGACTGAACACATAGAAAAACAAGAAGAATTGCTTCTTTCTCCAGAGATAAAGAACCCTGAAGAGAGGAGTAAAACTGAATCGATTATTATAAAAGAAGTCAAAGAAATTAAAGAGAAGTTAAAAAATAGGAAAAAAACAGCAGTTGAGATTCTTCTTAGGAATAGAAATATCTCACCCCAACTGGATATACAAGAGGTAACTTCAGACAAAGAGATAATAGAAGAAGACCTATTACAACCTATTCAGAGACAAGAAATGAGTACAGAAATGCTTCTTAAAAATCTTCTTAAAATAACTAAAGATGAAATCCTAGAAGAATGCGAAAAGATTCCACTAGGAACATCACAACTAGAAATCAACTGCTCGAAAGAATATTAGAAAAACCAAATTGAACACACAGTAGCTATATATAAAGAAGAAAGAGGTAACTCTCTTGAAGACAGTGAATAGGCTCCAAACAAAAATACATGTGAAGGATATGGAGAATATAAAGCAAAAATAGCAGCTTTCATCCTTCCTAGAAACTCTAAAGAAGATAGGATTAAATTTGTGAGAGGAACTATTCACAAAAACTATTACATAAGTATAATAGAGGAAAGCTTTATAAAAGGCAATGCGTGGATAGTAATCACTTTCGATTACATAAAAGGAAAACAAATCATGGAAGAAAAGTTAAAGAAGAAAGAAATAGAGTAGTACAAAGTAATATTTGAGAAGACTAACTCAAACATTGCAGAAACCAAAAACATAGAATATAAGAACAAAGGAGAATCAGAATCTAAAGGTAAAAACAGGGATTTTACATAGATTACAATATGAGATCTTACTCTAAACTATAGCAAACAAGAAGTAATTAGACTTGTTAAGTATTTCGGGTATGCAGAAGAGATAACCTTAAAGAAATTAAGATATTATCAGTCTGCAGAAATCAAAATATATACCCGAGGGGAAGAACAAGCAAGAAAACTTAAAGCAAATTGGGCAATAGGACTTGAGAATGGAAAGCTAGCATGTATAACTATAGGAGCTACTAATCTCAAATCCTTAAAAGAAAGAGAAGCGTATAGAGCAATTCTAACAAACGAACCAAGTACAGCACAAGAAACCTTATTCTTACGTTCTTTATGACAAACAGGAGCCAAAGTAGTCTTTATACCATATAACTCAAATAGAAACCCAAGCCATACAGCTAAGGTCTTTTTTGAATCCCAAGAAGATTTGGACTCCGCCATAAAGAGGAATATCTATTATTTCAACACAAAGCTTTTTTGGAAAAAGGATGAAAACATCTTTTCAAGTCAACAAGGAGAAGGTTCATCTTCCAAAAAGGCAATAGAAATAGTAAATAGAGCAACAAATCCAAAGGATATAAACAAAGAAAAAACAACTCCTAAAAAGAAAGAAAAAGTCTATAACAAGGAACAGAAATCCCACTCTAACAATATGCTAGAGGTTAACTTTTTAGTTCTCCAAGAAGAGTTTCTGAAATTAAGTGTGCAAATACAGAGAATAAAACAAGAAAATGAGTTCAGAAACAGAGCATTTAAATGCAAAAGAGCTCTGAATAGATCCTAAGGGCACTCCAGTTGTCATAGGAAAAATAGCTACAAAACAAAGTAGCAAAACAGGAAACATAGATATAGACAAACAAAATTGAATCTCATCAAAAACAATACAGAACATTTCAAACTTTGTGCAAATTAAAATAGGATTTTATAATATTAATAGTATTAAAGGAAACTAATATAAAGCACAACAACTAATTGATTATGGAACAAGTACTAACCTGAATATTATAGGGTTACTGAAACAAATATTCAGGAAAAAGAAGGTTGTTTTATCAAAATTAACAAAAACAACTACTCTACGTACTGGTCAAGTGC